AAGACCATACTTTCTTAAATATTTACAAAAATTGATTAAATCGTTAAATAGATACAAAACTGTAATAAATTTTAAAAATAGGCACAATTTGGACACCTGGTGTCTGGGATCAAATCCTGCATCGCGCTCCTTGCTCAGCGGGGATCCTGCTTCTCCATCTGCCGCTCCACCTGCTTGTGCTCTCTCTCTCTTCTCTTTCTCTGACAAATAAATAAATAAATAAATAAATAAATAAATAAATAAATAAATGTTTTAAAAAATAAAAATAGGCACAACTTAATAGTACCAGAAATCAGAAAACAGAAACTCTCTTGCTTTTTATTTTTTATTTTTAAAAGATTTTATTTATTTATTTGACAGAGACAGCGAAAGCAGCAACATGAGCAGGGGGAGTGGGAGAGGGAGAGGCAGGCTTCCCGCGGAGCAGGGAGCCCGATGTGGGACTCGATCCCAGGACGCTGGGATCATGACCTGAACTGAAGGCAGATGCTTAATGACTGAGCCACCCAGGTGCCCCAACCTCTTGCTTTCTTAATCAACTCTTAGATAAAAATAGAAATTCAGAATATTTGGTAACAGGATGAAAACATCATTCATTTGTACTATGCCAATGTGGTACTTGATGAAAACTCTCTCTCTCTCTCTCTCTCTATATAAATATATATATAAATTTCAACACTTACTGGGGCGCCTGGGTGGCTCAGTTGGTTAAGCGACTGCCTTCGGCTCAGGTCATGATCCTGGAGTCCCGGGATCGAGTCCCGCATCGGGCTCCCTGCTCGGCGGGGAGTCTGCTTCTCCCTCTGACCCTCCTCCCTCTCATGCTCTCTGTCTCTCATTCTCTCTCAAATAAATAAATAAAATCTTTAAAAAAAAAATTTCAACACTTACTTAAACATTAGAAAAAGAACCACAAAACAAATGAAGGCAAGCCCAAGGCAGAAATTAGCATAAATGCAGAAATTGTGTTAGCAAAACTATAAAATTGAAAATCAATTCAAAAGTACCTTATCTAATTTTTTTTTACCCAAAGTTAGCTAACCCAATAAAAGAAGCACAAATTTACAACATAAGAATTAACAACATAATAATCAACAACTGCAGAAATGGAGGAAAATAAAAAGGATATATTCCTATTAATATAGCAAAGAAAATATAAAAATTTGGGTAAAATGGAAATTATTCTAGGAAAATATAATTTACCAAGTGTAGATAAATAGATCGAAATCAAAGAACTAAACTACAAAAAAGTACCAGGCTCAGATGTTCTCAAAAGAAAAATTCTAACACAAAGAGGGCATGTATTGAATGGAGCACTGGGTGTTATACGCAAACAATGAATCATGGAACACTACATCAAAAACTAATGATGTAATGTATGGTGATTAACTTAACATAATAAAATAAAATTTAAAAAAAAAGAATTTATAGTGAACTCCCCCAAAATAAATTACATTGACATTACATTTTTAAAAAAAAAAGGAAAAAGAAAAATTCTAACACACTCTTTTTTTTTTTTTTTAAAGATTTTATTTATTTATTTGACACACAGAGAGAAAGCACAAGTGGGCAGAGAGACAGGCAGAGAGAGAGGCAGAAGCAGGCTCTCCACTGAGCAGGGAGCCCGATGCGGGACTCGATCCCGGGACTCCAGGATCATGACCTGAGCCGAAGGCAGTCGCTCAACCAACTGAGCCACCCAGGCGCCCCTAACACACTCTTAAAGAGCAGACAATTCCAGTGCTATTTTAAACTATACCAAACCATAGAAAATTAAGAAAATCATCTAAATTCTCTTTTTATGTAGCAAAAAATATTAATTAACATTAAAGTCTGACAAAGATTCAACCAAAAAATAAGACTTAGAGACCAATTGAACTTAACATCAATGAAAAATCCCAAATAAAAATTAGTAAACAGAACTTAGAAGTACAGTACAAGAATTATTTATCATCGCTAGAGTGTATTTATTCTAGGACTGCAAGGCCTTCCCTATATTCAGTATTATAAAAATCTATATAATACATCATATTAATTGATCTAAGGAAAAAAAGTACATGGTCATCTGCATGGATGCTGAAATCTAACATTATTTAAGTGATTAAAATCAAGTTATCTAGTAAGTGTGGTTTTCTTAACACGGTAAATACATTTGTAAGTCAGCTCCAAATCTGGCCTGTTGCTTAATGAGAAACAGTGGTATTCTCACTCAAGTCTGGAACAGATGGAGATGCTCATAACCACTGCTCTACCTGGTGCTCAGTTTTACAATGAATTAGCGAATAGATAAGAGAAAGAAAATAAAGGCATAAAAATTAGAAATGAGGAGGTGAAGCTATTGCTATGTGAATTTACTGAGTCCCTACTATATTTTAGGTGAAAAAAGATACTAAAAATTTCCTTTTTGTTTATAGAGCTCACATTTTAGTTACAATGTTATTATATGACTATGTGGAAAAGTAAAGGAATCAAGTGAAAAGTTACCACAAACAACACCAGAAAAGGTAATATCCCTAAGAATAAATGTAGTAAGGATGTGCAAGGTATGTGAGGAAATTTTTCAAACACTGTCAAAGAATACAAAAGACAAATTGGGTAAAGATGTCAGTTCATCCTACATTAATTTCTTGAACATTTGGAGTAGGGAAGGCTTTTCTTATTATGACCCAAAATTCAGAAGTTATAACAGAAAAAAATTGATAAGTTCAAGTAACTTTTCAAAAACTTCAAATAAAAAACAAGCAGAAAACCCCATGACGAATTCTAAAACTCAAAGACCTTGTTACAAAGTATGCAACCTATGGTACAGACACAGGTTTAATCGCCCTAATTAATAAATGAAGAAACTCTACAAATCAGTAAAATACGTACAGATCAAGGAAAAAGGTGTGCCATATATGTGAAAAGATTGTTCATAAAAAGGGAGTATATCTGGTTTTTCCTGTTTCATAAAAAGAGGAAATCAAGTTAAAAACATACTGAGACACGACTTTATATCAGATTGGAAAAAAGTTGAGCAATCTGATAATGTACTCTATTGGTGAGGCATTGGGAAATGGGCATTCTTGCTTGTGAAAGTATAAATTGGTTAAAATCATTAGGGTAACTTTTCAATATCTAAATAAGTTGCAAATGCATAGGTCTTTGATCTCCAACATTTGCTTCCAGGAATTTATCTCTCTGTATGCCTGTATAAAATGACCTATGACAAGATGATTTATTATAGCATTGTTTATAGTGGTGGAAGTCTAGAAGCTACTTAAACGTCCATTAACAGGAGAGTGGATAAATAAATCACAGCGCATACTGACAGTTCTACAAAAGAAGGAGGGCATTCTTTATGTCTTAATATGGAAATATTCCAAGATATATTGTTAAGTAAAAAACCCCAAATTCAGAATGATACATGTAGTATGCAACCATTTGTGTGACAAAGGGATATATAAGAATACATATTTAAATTTACTTATATTTGCATAAAATAACTCTGGGAGAGAAACTGATTTAATAACTGGTTAGCTGGTAGAAAGGGGGAGAATAGTAGGAATAAAATAGGAAGGTGAAACTTTGCATAGTTTTTAATTTGTGAACCATGTGAATGTTTGACCTATTCAATAAGCTGAGAAAACAAATTAAAAATTGATTTCTCTAGGAAAATGGTATAGCCATGGTATGTAGTAGGATGTGAATTTTCTGTCTTCCCTATTTTTTCATTAAGATAGATGTAAAAGGAGAGTGTAGATGGTGTCATGACTACTAAAAGCAAAAACATGTCAAAGGACACACCTCACTGAAAGTTGGCAAAGGACTTTCACAAATAGGAGCTCAGCACATTTTATAACCTCAGCCATAATACTGCGGCCACTTGCTGTGTTCCCTGTGTCTCTGGCATCTTGAATTGCTTGAGATGCTTTGAAAAGGTGTCAGAGGTATATCCCACTATTGTAACTTGAGGCTGCTCAGCCTCCCCTCCTAACCCCAGTTTTGGTTATTTCCTCTGAATACTAGCATCTCATTTATAGTAAAGGAAAGATAGAATAAAGGAATAGACCTCACTCGGCTGAGTTTTGTTGTGCCGCAGAACACGCTCACATAATTGTGGACAGAATGGTCTCTGAGATATTCAAGAGAGGGTAGAGATAAGAAAGGGGAGAAACGAACATTTACTGAGACTTAGGCATATTGTTGACATTTGGTCATCATCACAGTCCTATTTAGGTGGATAAATAACCCTAACAGGTGAGGGAACCAAGGCTGAGAGGTCATTAGAGTGAGAAATTGAACCTGGCTGTCACCTCCTAATGTTACAGACATGAGTGAGAGTCAGAATAGTGTCATCATATGGCGAGCCATAAGGAGGGTCTCTTCCCTGTTCACCAAGTTTGTGTCTTCAAGTAATGCATAGTTGTTGTAAAGGTTTAACGGGGATCTGGTCCAAAGGAATGACCAAGAAGAGGGATAGAAGAGAAATGTGTGAGCAGCAGAGCAGAGAGAAGAGGAAGAAAGAAAACCCATGTTTTGTAGTAGAATTGGTGCCTTAAGCTAAAGTGAGGTCTGTTGAGATTACTCTGTGCTTTTGTCTGCCCTACGTTACCCTGATGTGTGACACTTGGGTATAGCATTTTTTTTCCTGAGAAAGTGAAACCTTTGAATGATGCCTCTTTGCAAATTCACCCTAACCTAACTCCTTTCCTTGAAGGCTGATGGAGCTGACTCAGCCCGTTGGCTGTTTCATTGCATTTCTGTGGCTGATAAGAAGTGCAAGCAGAAGAGCAAGATTCGTATTTTTCAGTGTTGTTTCCTAATGAGTAACTTTTTTTTTATCCTAAGTGGTTATTTATGTCCATGCTACTAATGGAAGGACTAGGTCCTCAGTGGTAAATACAGAAATTTCAGTAGCAGGTAGTAAATACAGGGGGAAACAAAAACCTCAATTTAGACAAGGGCAGATGTTTTTATAGTGAAGATGAAAATGATTTTGCTGGCATCTTGTTTCATAGCATCCTGATGAAAAGAGATTGGAAGGCCTCTCCAAGCAGCTGGACTGGGATGTTCGCAGCATTCAGCGCTGGTTTCGACAAAGATGCAACCAGGAGAAGCCAAGCACACTGAGGAAGTTCTGTGAGAGCATGTAAGTTGCTATTTTTCTTTTTGAAAGAAAAACCTGCCTAAGTACTCATCCCATCCCTGAGGTTAAAAATAAAGGCTTCATGCAGGCTCCAGCAGCCCCTAAAAAGCATGCCACCTGGTGGAAAAATAGGCCACAAAAAAAGCTGGGGGAATAGTAGTTTGTAAGAATTTGTGATTTCCACTTTGGATTTAGTAAATGAAGTTCACTTTCTAGTGGAGTTCCTACAAAGTAGGCAGATTACAGGGGCCTGCAATGGTGTTTTCAGTCAGCCACCTCTGAAATACAGCACTAGAAGTCATTACCATAATAGTTTGAATTTTAATAGAGGGGACTTTGTCAAGATGTTCTTTCCACTGGTAAAAGCTGAGATGTTAGATGTATTATCAGAGAGTTGTGATTCCTGGAGATTTAAGAAATAACTGTATTATATTCCTTGGGTGAATTTAATGAAGCATTGCTTAAAGGTGGGGGGTGGAATGAAGGTCTCTTCCACTTCTGAAATGTGAACTTCATGGTGTATAAATTATATATCAATAAAGCGGTTAAGAATAATAAAAGACCCACAGAGAACTAGCACAGTGCTATTTTGAACTAGCAACACTCATACACTTACCTGTAGGAAAGTTAGAGAAAGAAATACTGAAGCATTTCCAACAAAGGGAAGATACTGTGCCTTGAGCTCATTGGTCCATTTGGTCTTCATCCTTTGGGATATCACTGTGCCTTTGTCTAACACTCTGTCCTTTGGGAGCTTTTTCCCGACACCTGGTCATTGGAACAATGGTGCTGTCAGCGTTGCTCCCTTTGTTGAAGGCCCTTTCTGTTTGGGGTTGAAGTTGCATTTTCAGGTTTAGCTTTCAATTATGCTGGAAAAATATTTCAGCAACTGCAATCTAAAACTTAGAGGGAAACCTAGAGTTCTGGGAGAAATGAGTTAGAGGCAGAATAATATCATAAATTCCTAGGGCTGGATAAATATGGGGAGCATAAACAGGATCTTCAGGAGGTCAGATATTTATAAAACCTGGACAAACAACCCGGTAGATACAATCTGCAAAGCCCTTCCTATAATTGAACTTAGTGGCAGTTTATGGAAGAAGGATTTATACATCCGGGCTCAAGATCAAAAGGTGAAATTGCTTCCTGGCCTTGCCCCACCATATATGCAAAGGGCCCGGGCTCCATTGGGCTATGGGTCTGAGCAGGGGTGAAGCTGGGTCTTGGCACAGGAACCCCATGCTGAAACTCATGTGCCATCTTCCCTTCCTCCAACTAACTTCTTTGGTAACTCAGTGCTAGTTCTTTCTATACTACACTGAATCTACACCAGTTTCCATACCAGTATGTATAGGAATCCACCGGATCTTGTTAAAATGCAGATTCTCATTCATTCAGTGAGTCTGCGATGGCAACTAAGGTTGCATTTTTCACAAGTTCCCAGGTGATGCCGCTGGTCCATAGCAAGGCTCAACACTAGACCAGTATCTATGTCTTCTCCCTGAATTCAGCAGGGCTTTATCTGCCTAGGTATAATCAGTTAAAAATATTTCTTTATTTTTTTTTTAAGATTTTATTTATTTATTTGAGAGAGAGAGAATGAGAGACAGAGAACAGGAGAGGAAGGAGGGTCAGAGGGAGAAGCAGACTCCCCGCCGAGCAGGGAGCCCGATGCGGGACTCGATCCCAGGACTCCAGGACCATGACCTGAGCCGAAGGCAGTCGCTTAATCAACTGAGCCACCCAGGCGCCCAAGTAAAAAATATTTCTAAATGATTGCTAAAGGCATGGCAATGTGAAGGCACAACTGGGGGAGAGGTGGTACCTAAAGTATCGATTATGCTCTTTTTCTTCAAGAAGTTTATTATAGTAGTGTCGAGGAGACATGACAAATACCTGAGTATATGTACCTCAGTGGCATTATACGATAAACAGGTGTGCATGCTAAACAATTGGTATGGACAGTCAGGAGTTAAAGATGAGAGGAGAAAGGTCAGCTGTGGGCTAGGGCACATGGCAGGACTGCTGGGACGAGCACAGAGACGGTACTGGTGGCCATGGACTTTTCTATTGCAGAGGACTGTGCTGATGAACTTTGTTTTGAAACTCTCTTCTTCCTTAACCTCTGGATTGCCACTGGATTCTCCTGCCTTTCCAAGGGCTTCTGTTTGCATCAGTTACTCTGCATTTTTCCATTTTCTTTGACTGGGTTTCTTCTCCAGATTCAGTCTTCAACCTCTTATTTTCCCCACTCTACCTTCCACCCTCTGGGTAGAATTATTTCCTCTTGCCAGGTTCTTCCAAAGTCAAGTGTCCAACGAAGAGGTTTCTTCTGAGGCATCGTTCTGCTTTCTCCCAGCTGGTAACTCTGACTTGCTTCCGCCTTCTGACTTCTCTTCTCCTGTTGTTCACATGTCTCCATTCTCTTAAAGGCTAGAGGCTCAAACCAGTCATTCACCGCGTTCCATTAGTTCTTTGTAAAGCCACTGGCATGGCCCTGATCTTAATTGCTCTCATAGCTCTCCTTATTATTTACCTCGCATTCATAGATACTTTGCTACCAAAAAAAAAAAAAAAAAAAAAAAAAAAAATCCCAAAATGCTATTATCTTCATGTTCTGTTACTTGTAAACCTTGATGATTTTTCTGCAACTATAGAAGTTACTAGGCTCCTTAGCCTGTTAGCTAGACTCTGGCCTTTATGTGTTTTGGTATCAGTCACCCAAAAGACCCCTTCCTTCCAGAAGGTTGTCTTTTCACTGGCCGCACTTTGTTCATTCCTGCCCTGGTTTATGCTGTGTTCCTGACATAGACACCTATATCCTCTGCCCTGCTCATCTACCCCTACCCATTCTTCAAACCCCAGGCCCTCTCAGAAATGTGGCATGACTGTTGAGTGTCTGGAATGAACACTACTTCTTTTGAATTTTTAGAGTCCTCATTGTAAATACTGGTAATTTCATACTGAATCATGTGCTTTCTTATGTGGTTATTTAACTTTTCTTAACTTGTCCGTATATTTTTACCCTAATTACATAATACTTGCTCCTTGAGGGCACAAGAACCACATCTTGTTTTTCTTGCGTTCTTAGCCTTTCCTACCACATATATACTGCTGATTAAATATTGGTTAAATGACTGTAAGTTACAGTGGCATTTTGAAAGGATTTGCTGATCTAAGTTGGCACTTTGCCTCCCCAAATGAAGAGTGCCTATTATACACTGACTTAGCCTAAAATTTCTCTAGGAAATTTATCAAACTATGGAAAGCTCCAAGACTATTTCAAAGAAAGAAAATCAGAGGAAGGAATGGTATGGCAAAGGGGAACACTTAGATAATGCCATGAGGACTAAGGCAGAATTATATTGGTCACCGTAGGCACATTTGTGTGTCGTAGTTATTTGCTCATCAATATAAAAAATGATCTGGAATAGTTGTTCTCAGCCAGGGGTACACTGCGTAATCACCTGGTGAGCTTTTGAAAATACACATACCCAGGCCCCACCCTGGGATGTCTGACTCAGCGTGGTGACCCAGGTGAGTTCTGGACATAGACATCTTGAAAGAAATGCCCTTAGTACTTATGACACACATTCATGGTTAAGAGGCACTAATCTCTGAAAAGAGAGGACTGCTGTTCAGAAATACTAAAAATCAAATTAGCAAGCAAGACAACACAGATTTGGGACTTGAAGGTCTAGGGACCAACTGTACAGTTTCTATAGTTTTTCTGTTCTATCTAAATCACTGTTTTAGAAAATAGGGCCTCGTCAGGGGAATTGTGTTTCATCTTTCAGCAGTGTGGAATGGCAGCAAGATGCATGCCAAACAGTGCTTGTAACCATCTGCTGGCGTGTCCAACTTTTGGCACACCCATTTCATGCGGATGAGCTGAGTAAAAGTTGTTCAACAAGTAATGTGTTGAAACATTGACATGCTTTTTTTCCCTCTTCATGCTTGATGTCAGTCATTCACAGCTCTGTTAGTTTTGATGAATATTTCTTCCAGAAGCATTTAAATCTTTATTGGCAACTGAAAGAGAGATTTTCAAGAGGGAGTAGAGAATTTATAAAAATGAGATACCCCGTGATACATTTTCAGAGGAACTGTTTCTAAATGGGAGCCATTTAACTAGGGGAATCATGCTTTGAAGCTGCTGAAGTTTTGCCTCTCCCCCTCCAACAGTTGCATCAGGATAATAGTAAGGTAAATAATATCTGCAATAAAAAAAATACCCGCAGGATGAAACAGGAAGGGGCAGAGATAAGTTTTCAGAATAAATGGCTTCCTTCTCATTTATACCCTGCATGGGTTCCTCATTTTTAAATATTGTGCAGTGTGTTTAATAGCACATGCTTGGGAGGGAATATTATATATGGCTTTCGTTTAAGCAGTCTCCACCTGACTGGACAGATAAATCTCCCACATGATAACCTGAAGATATAGGGCAAGGAGTATTACACTTTATAGATTAGTACTAATTTATGTGGATTGGCATTTGCTCATATGGAACCTTGTTGTAAGATGAGGACCAAGATTGTCTTTTCTTTCGGAATTTCATTTTAGAGTTGAGACCGATTAAAACTACCCTTAAATGCTGCCAGATTTGGATGCTTCTGTTCAGTGGCAGCAGACTGACCAAAATCCGGGCACCTTTTGAAACTAACTTTATTTGTGCAACGAAGCCCCCGTGATCCTAATTTGTGATTCCATTGAACTAAGGATAACTCAGCAGTGAGAAATGAGTGGTTTAACCCATTGTCCTCATGCTACCACTCAGTCACTGCTTTTTTATTTGGTAGCTTTTTACTTGGACATGTCAGCAATGCTGTCTTGTGACCTCAATAAGAAAGTGGATCCTAGTAATTGAGGGGGAGAAGAGCAGGGCTGCACAGGGAAAAAGCAGAGTCTCATATCCCTTTATTTCAGATCAATCTTTGATCTGAGGAAATGTGTGGTGAATATATTCAACAAGTTGTCATAACCGAGTCACCTGTTTGCAA